GATGTATAGGACGCAAGCAGATTTTGGGGTAAAAAAGTGCGTCTTATACACCGAAAAATACGGTACTTATATTTTTTATTTCTTGACTAGCTCGAAGTTCTTTAATATCTTCAAATAAATATATCAGGATAAATAGCTTACTACTAATCTTGTTGGAAGATAGAGTCAGTGAAAGTTGAGTTGCCAACCTAGCCAGAAGTTTAGAGAAAAGAGAGACGGTTTTGGTGTATTATTTTAACAAGAAATTTCTTCTATAAGGTTAAAATGAATGATGACATCCAATGTTATTTAATTCAGTTTTTTTTTAACAAGTTAAAGCTTTTTTAGCGAGAAGAATTTGTACTTAAACAGATATGATGTCTTCATTGCACCAGCAGGTGAAATGTTGTACCTGTTTAAATAAACAATTCTTCCTTACTGTAAAACCTGTAACTTGTAAATACATATATATATATATACTTATAATCAGAAGTAAACTGGAACTGTTATTTAATTAACTTGATTTGCTGACATTTTTCTCAATGATTGCTATGTTTTAGTTTATTTTTGAGAACTGGGTCTTTTAAATGTAAAAATTTGACACCTGATGTAGTGTAGTAAGTTTTGTTACAGTAGTGTTAAGAATATATTGGAACTTCTTACCTAACTTATGAAATATTTGTACAGCTATTTGGAGTTAAGATCACATTATAAATTCTACTTGGATAAAACTAGTTTAAAAAAAAAGTACTTATCAGAATGTGCTCGTGGTAAAGATGATCCAAGTCAGTCTAGGTGCATGAATGACACCTGTACCTAACAAAAGAAAATCCTACAATGTTAATTTACTTGCTTTACATCGTTTCATGTTTAAATAAATTAATGATGTAAAGAAAATAGTCAGAGTTGTGTTAACTTGTGTTCTTTACTTACAATGAGAAAGTTACATTGACATATGGATCTACTTACTTGATACTTTGTTTTTGGGTTCAGTTACACTCCTGTGCTACCTAATATATATTAAATATATAAATATTGTTACAGGTTGTTGACCATCAAGGCCTTGTTATTTTATGTTTGACGAATGTTTTTTAGTCTATTTTTAAACTCAAGAGATGAGTAAACTTCATCAGATCATAAGTGCAGGAAAACAACAATTTCTAACATACATAAAAAAGTTGAATGTGGGATTTATTTCAAAACCCATTGTTGAAAACATACAAAGTCATTCTGATTTTTTTTAATTACCAAAATAATAAATGATCTAGAACATATAGTACAGTTGAACAAAGAATTATTACTCATACCACTCTTTTCTGGTTTTCAAACAAACTCATAAAAAAGGTGTAAAATCATAAAGTTATAAATGTCAACATTCAAAGTATTTGTGTTTAATATTCGCAGTAGAGGGCGCTAGTGTTTAAATTTCACCACGTGTTCTGAGATTGCACCACAATTTAAACAAGTAATAAAAACTTTGAGAAAAATTCCAAAATATGGATGCTTAAAAATAAAACATGGGTAAGAGACCCCTTCTCTTTGAACATCCATATTACACTCGGGGTTTCTCTGCACCAACAGAAATATTTAGTATTATATACACAAAAATATGAAGTGATCAAACTTCATTGACTTTTAGAATAAGTTGTTTTTCTTAATTGACTTGCGAACTTTTGTTTGAAACTTTGTGAACAGACTGATATCACATTCATGTTGAGTCCAGGATTTTTATAGTCCAACGTATGTCGTTTTTGTTATTAAAAAAAAATGAAGTGATCGGAATTAAATAAGTCGTACTTCTTAACTGGCTTATGGACTTCTTCAAATAATAATAATAATAAAAAACTTTGTGCATAAGGTATAGGTTTGTTTCAGAAACAAATAGTTGAAAATATCAAGCCAATATTTCAGTTCACCTAGATTCCGAAACATATCATGATTAAGCCTAATAAAGATTTATTAAAAAGTTTGTCGAAATTTTGTATAAGTAAGACGTAATTACATGCACAGTATTTTACATAAACTTAGAACCAAGTCGCGCTTATCAATCGTATCTGGTGAATTTAATGATTGTTTTGAAAATAAACAAAGAACTTTAGGCATTAATTGAAAATGTTTTTAGTCAAGAACAGCTATGTCGTACAAGATTTAAATCTCGTAAACTATCGTGAATTAATTAATAGCGTGACGATTTTTTAAAACGCGGTTCCCAGGAACTGTGAGGATTAAACCCATTATTCTTGACTACAAAGCTGGTTTGTTTATCGAGCCACCCGGTGGTACAGCGGTATGTCTACGAACTTACAACGCTAGAATCCGGGTTTCGATACCCGTGTTGGGCAGGCACAGAAAGCCCATTGTGTAGCTTTGTGCTTAATTACAAATAACACATTGTTTATCGATTTTCTTTTTGCCACGACATATAAAGAATCACCTTTTTTTTTGTGTGCATTATAGTTATCAACACTTGAGATTTAATAAGGAAATTTCATATTTATATTCTGATTGTTGAACATCGTAAGTAAAGATAAAATAAGCAAAAACACAACACGGAAAGTATTCATTGTAATTTATGGCCTTTCTTGTGCACAGATTTCATAAAATATGTAAACATTTCAACGTTTAAAAAATACAATAATTCATTGTATAAAAGCAAAATACACTGTTACGTCTCCGTTCGCTAGTTAATTTTCTGTAAC